GACGACGACTACTACTACTACGACGACGACTACACAACAACAACAACAACAACAACAACAACAACAACAACAAGGACAAGAACTACCACTACTACTACTACTACTACTACTACTACTACTACTAATGCTACTGCTACTACTGCTACTGCTACCGCTACCGCTACCGCTACCGCTACTGCTGCTGCTGCTGCTGCTGCTGCTACTTGTTGTCGTGATGTTAGTTGTTGTTGTATCCAGTGATGGCCTTCAACCCGGATGAGGCCACGTGGAGCGCCTCGGCATCCCTCCGCGCCAAAAGCTCCTATCGCAACAAACAGAGGGCGGTGTGCTTCATGCGATGACCCAAATCTTCCCACTCAAAGTGCGACGGTGGAAACACATCCCTAGGGAGCTGGACAAGCAAATGGGACGGCTCCTGCATAGTGGCACCACCCTCGGAGCCGCTTCGAGGCAACAGCAACAACACCGCCTCCTACTACTACCACTGCTCCTTCTTCTACTGCTACTGTTACGGCTACTACTGCTACTACTACTGCTGCGGCCCTGCCCCGGTCGGCAGAATAATCGGCTGAATCGGAAAACAGCTATGATTCAGAAACCAGCCATGATTCGGAAACTAGAACGGCTGGTTCGAAAACTGCGACGGCTGATTCAGAAACACGACTCACTGATTCAGAAACCACACCATGATTCGGAAAGCAGAACGGGTGATTCGGAAATCAAACTAGTTGCCAGGAGGATTGCGGGCCTGGAAGGGCTTGGAAAGGCTAAAATCTCAATGCTTCACTAGATTGTACTTCCTGAGGGACGTCGACTCGGTTGGGCCATGGATGCTCTCTTCTCAGAACGCATTCGGCCATGGCCTCTTGGTTGGGGCATGGGTGCTGTCTTCTCAGAGCGCATTCGAGCATGGACGTTATCATGGGTTGGCCCATGGATGCTCTCTCTGCAAACGCATACGACCATGGAAGTCATCAGGGCTGGGCCATGGATGTCATCTAGGTTTTCCCATGGATGCACTCCTGCACCAGTTTCCAAGCTCTAGTTTCTGATGCACGCTGGTCGCATGCTGGTTTCTGATGCGCAGTTTACGATGTACGACGGTTTCCGATGCGTAGTTTCTGGTTTTTGATTTTGCAATGGATCGCCCTACCTCACTCCTGCCCAGACTCCCACTCCTAGCCCTCTGGGAGCAATGCTGAATGGTTCGCATGGCCCTATGCGCCACTTAAACATCTTCTTGCAAACGGAAGCAAACTGTGCCTAGTGCAGTCCAAAGCACGAAATGGAAAGCGTAGGCTGTGGCCAGCAAGGGCAACACGCGTTGCTGCTGCATCGTGTAGTCGAGGACGCACATCTCTGAGCTGTCACCATTGCCTCGAAGGGCTCAGCCGGGACCATCTGCTGCCCCTTTAAAATTTCGTCGTGCCTACGAGGGAGCCTGGGACCGTGACAGGCCCTCTAACATCTTGAGGGACGCTTCCCTTGCCCGGCCTGTAAATCCTTGGTGCCGCACAGCAGAGTACCGGATTGCGATGGCGCAGGCCTTGCTGAGAACGTGGCCTTACCATGGGTTTTTGTTCGATCGTTTGCGACACTCTGCCAAGCGCCAACGCAGGTCTGGAAAACACGACTCTATAGAATCAATCAAACCCCTTTACCGCAGAACCCAAGCCCCTAAAGTTCTTGACCTGAACCGACACGACCATGACCGGAAGAGGCCCGTGCCGCTGCCCATGGCAATCTCCACACGCACCTGACGGCTTTTTCCGGGCTTGGAATCGTATTCTGTTTTAGAAGGCGCAGCTTACTATTTCGAAACCATGAAGCCTTTTGCATATCCTGACCATATCATTACGAGGTCAAGTGCAAGTATTCTTCGTACGTTCTGGTCAGTGTATCGAGGACGGCAATTACTATAGGAGTACTGTTACTGCGACCAATGTCTACTTAAACAGCTGGCCCAATTTAAGCAGCCCCAAACCATAAACAGGAGACCTGCTGAGAGCCTGTGTAGGGAGGTGGGCATATGTGTTTGTCACTGTTTAGCACTGAAACAATGCGTTTTTAGAGACTGCTACTGGTTTCGTATGTTTCATGAAGAAGCATGGAGTGTTGTTTGCAGTGCAGTCACCGTTGTGTTCATGCTACAGTAGCATCAGTATCAGTGATCCCCATTGCATTTTTGGCTTCATCGGCGCATTCCTCACATATACGGTCATTGTCAACTATGTCCACCCGTTTTGTTTACTTGCGACTCTCACATCCCAGTGCGAACGTATGATGACTCCCCTGGCAGAGGCCTTCGTCATGGCGGAATAGGACGCCTCGGCGACAAGAGCATCATCCGAAGGAAACTCCAGTCGATATCGACTATGACAGACATCTATGTATGTATGTATGCATGAATGTACGTATGTACGTATGTACGTACGTATGTACGTATGCATTCATGTGTGTGGGTGTGCGTACATGCAAGCACGTACGTGCTTACGTACATGCATGCCCAAGCCACTTCCTTGCAACACAGTGTGCCCGGGACCTTGTGCTTCGGGTTGAAGATTTAGGAGCTGGGTGATGAAATCAGGGAGATAATTGGAGTTCAGGGTTTAGAGGGCACCGCTCCATCTGGGGGCTTTGGGCGTAAGGTTTGGGAGAGCTCGGGAATCAGAGCCTAGTTGGGGGTTTCCGAAAATAGGGGACCCTAATATAAGACCCTAAATAATAGGATCCTTATTATAAGGACCCCAAAATAAGGTACCCAAATTTTCGGAAAGTCCCAGTTGGAGTTCGGGCAATTGAGCGTCAGCATCCGGGTCGCAGGGAGTCTAGGGATCCGGCTCTCATTTTGCTAAGGCCCCCGGCCGCGCGCCGCTCCTTTCTAGACGAGTACTGTCCCCTGCGGTCCAGCGTCGCATGCCTGCCATGGCTCGACTTGGAGTTCGGGCTGAAGTGTTGGGAAGCGCAATATTGCAGTACTCGCAGCTACTGGCAGTGCACATGCTGCTCATGGTCACAATAACCACGAAGGCACCACTATAGGAGCATTGACGAAAATGGATGGAAGTCTTCGTCACATTCAACAATATCTGGATGGAAGGGGCCTCATGGCCATGTTGGTCCGTGGAATGCGCACGTGGCTGAACCGGCAGAAACCGTTGTCCTGCCAAGGATCAGCAATCTCGAAAACTCAACCAACAGAAGACGGCTCGATAACATCGGAGATTGGCCTGTTTCCACACGTTGCACTCTGAGTCCTCTGTGCCCTGTGGCCTCATCAGACATAGTGACATAGTAACCCTCAGAGTCGCTGTTGGGCCTGGTTATTGTAGCCGATCTTCGGCCCAATGTCGCCGACTTGCACGCCGGGGAGTGGCTCATGCGTCTGCAAGTCTCGGATCTGCACCTGAGGTGTGCAGAGGGCCTCTACAGGCCTTCTGGAGCATAAAACCCTAAACCCTAAACCCTAAACCTAAACGGCCTTTAGGGTTTATAGGATTTGGGCGAAGGCCTGAGCCCTCCGTCCCTCCCTTGCTCCTCGGAGCAGGGCCCTCCCTGCGATCCCAGGGGCCATGAAGTTGTGGATGCCCAGGTCTTCGCCTGATACAAGTAACATACTGCACGGCACTGAATGGCTCTCTGATAAGGGATCTACCGACCGAGCCATTCAGAAGACGGTTCCTGGAAAGACGCTGTGTACCGATCTAGGGGACTTTAAGGAGTTGCATCAGCAGGTTACTGGGAGGGTGCAGGCTCGCCTGCTGTAGCATCCACTGGCGGCCGGTTGTAAGAAATCTCGTGCGATGTCCCTTCAAAGCTTAAGCTTGAGGGTGAAGGCGTTGACTTTATGGGCTCTCTTCCTCCTCGCCTGAGCTAGAATGCATTGACCGCCCTTGTACAGGCAGGGCCATTCACTTCCAAGACCCACCAGGTCTGCCCCGTCGGTGCCTGCCACGATCAGGCGGGCGTAGACAACAGCGTGATTCGCCGTCCTGATGCCGCAAAGTGTTTAGATAAGTTGCGACTCTCGGCACCTTCTAGACTTTCAACCGGCGCAAACTCCGATCGGCAGCGCAAGCTCAATAAGCCCTCTTCCCCCACCGAAAAAGCCCAGTCTAGAAGTTGGAGGGCACTCCAGTCACTTAAGCTCCTCTACTGTCAGGATATTGATGGAATGTCGTCATGCTGATACGAACGGTAGGGGGGACGAGCAGAATGCTGATGATGCTTGAGTGATGATGTTAATTTAATGCTAATGCTGTTGTTGATGATGATCCTGCAGTGATGCATGATGAATGCGGTGACAGCGAAGCAGCGACAAGAATGAGGAGCAGGATCACGAGAACTGATGACGACGATGCTGGTCGTAATGCTGTTGGTATCTGTAACGCTGGGGAATGATACAACTAGGGAAAATGTGTTGTCAGATGCCATGTTAGTTCTATTCGCACTAGTGGGCCGAGGCATCGGCAATAGCAAATTTGGAAGCCGTCGTAGTGGAACAACAACAACAACAACAACAACATCAACATCAACATCAACATCAACAACAACAACTACAACTACACCTTCAGCTACAACTACAACTACAACAACTACTACTACGACGCTGACGACTATGGCTGAGGCTACGACGACGACGACGACCACTACAGCTGCTGCCTACTACCGACTACTGCTACGACCACGACGACCACGCCTCCGACCACAACTACGGTTACGGCCACGACGGCAGAGGCTACCACTGCCGCCGCTGCTAAGTTACTCTTGCTACTACTGCCGCGACTCCTACTAAGACTTCACCGGCTATTTCACCACTAAACTACTACCCGTGCGACTATCACGACCATTACGAACACGACGACGGCTGCTACAGGCTGCTACTAAACACAACGCGCTCATAGTCTGTATGAGCGTGATAACGCCTCGTCAACAAGTCCACACTCAAGCCCAAACAAAACAGTCGAGCCACCTTCCTTTGTGATCTTTTTCCACCGAGCGCTCTTGAAGCTAACGGGCTCTTTCCGTATCTTGTGCAGGAGCTCTTCCTTGGGCATTGTTTGCACTTTAGTTTTTTCACGAAATTTAAGGTTTGCAGCTTGAGGGGTTGGGATGTCGGCTGTCGGGTTTAGGAGCTTAAGCTTCACGCTTCAGGCTTGTTTTTGCCTCGGCTGCTTTGAGGTTGTCGAGTTCAGGGGTTGGTGGGATTCACCGGTTGTAGCGAATGACAAGCAGGTTTGGAATGGTTTGGATGCTGGAACACAATGGCCGTACTATTTTCGGACAGCAGCAACAGTTTTGGTTGAAGTCGTAGAATCACAAGTAGCAGCTCGTGTCAGCAGAAGATAGTGCCTCTGACACTGAGTCTAAACAAATTGAAGCGACAATTAAGGTTTATTTGGTTAGTTTGACTAACACAAGTGTACCAGTAAGGTCCGACATCAGCGGGTCAGTCTCTTGCAAGCACGGCGAGAAACAACACTCATAAGATCCGTGATGCGCACAAAACCCTTTCTGCCAAAAGCCAGAGGCCCCGCCTTCGTCTTGCCAGAAAAAGGATACTGGCCAGACAAAATGATGAACATCACCTCGCAAAAGAAGCAATGTCATGAAATGGGCAATAGCGGCACGCTTTTTGACCTTTAAAGTGCCCGGGCTTCCATAGATTCGGCTCACAGCGATTAACAGCAAAAATCGAGACCCTAAACCGTCCTAATGCAATCCTATACCCTAAATTCCAAAGAAGTCCCAGGATAACCCTACGCCCTACGTCCGGCCCTAAGCCCTTATACTGACACCCCATGAGGGCCCAGATACAACACCGGCGCTCCAGGAGTCACACCTTGCGTTGGAAAGCAAACAGCATCAAAGCTAATAGCTTGTTACAAACACCCTTTTACTAGTACAAGCACAGTTGTTATAACTTGTAATTACAGCCTATAGCTTTTACAAACACCATTGCTAGCTTGATTGAAGCAGATTGAAGCCATATTTTGCATGTTTTCCCGACGACGCGAAGACTGCGGCTCGTGAGCCCAAGACTTCAACAGCACGGCACTTGCTGGTCCAGGCACCGCTGGTCATACTGTACGGGAGCAGTCACGAGCTCGGGGGCAACGCTGTACGGGGTGCCAGCCGCACGGGTGATCTTCGCTCCAGGTCGAAACGGGCAACACAAGCCGAAGTCAATCAGTTTGATGTTTCCAACTTCACCATCTTGCACGGGCTTTGCGAACATGATATTTTCGGTTTTCAAATCACGAAATATGAAGTTGGCCTGGTGTAGGTAAGACAAAGCAGAGAGAGTCTGTCGCATGATCTTTGCCGCATCTGGCTCAGGAAATCGTTGCTGAACACATAAGCTTTCCAGCAAAGTGCCCCCGGCACAAATGTCCATGACCAAATATATGTGGCGGCGATCCTCATAGCATTCGTAGGCTTTGCAGATATGTGCATGGTCCAGCTGGCGGAGAACATTAAACTCATCTTTGACGGTTTTGGGATCTGAGATCTTCTTTTTTGGGATAGTTTTCACGGCAACATAGGTTGCCATGGACACGGCCTTTGTGCGAATGTCTCTGGCTCTGCTTACAACACCGAAACTGCCACTGCCCAGCTCTTCCAACATCTCATAGTTGTCCTGCACATGCAAGCAGCAATGGAAAACGGCTGGGCAATTTGCAGGCTCATTGGCATTGAGGCTACTCGGGTTCAGGCCTCTAGCAATCGCCTTATACATAACATCAAACAAGACATGAAGTGATGTCCTCCAACTTGCCCTTCTTCACCTGTCCATGCATATGCATTAGCAACCGCGCACCGTGCATGCCGGATCCCCTCATCCCGGCTGCTTACATCCGCCGGTGCAACATCACATTGCAGCTCGTGGCAATGGCACGACGAACAACAACCAATCATGGGCAAGCAGCTGTCGACAGCAAAAACTGTGTGCCGATGAAGATACTACAATTTCTACAGTACATGATGGCGGTGTGAATCTGCGGGAAAAACCCGGCCTGCGCGAGCAAAGCGCGGTCAAAGGCTTGCAAACTTTCTGTTTGGTCGCCAGTGGCAGCTGGCTGTTCGACGCGCGCGCAGGCGGCAGCCAGGGCAGCTCCCATGGCTCCCCCATCGCCATCAACTCCCCCACTTTTGCATCTTTTCAAGACGCCACACACTTGAAGCCAAGATATGCATACATGGATCGGCTGAAAGCACCGGGTTGGTCAAGAACCGGTTGTGGAGAACTGGGATTTTTTGACAATTGCGAAGTGGCTGGAAGCTGGACGATATTGGGCATTACAACTGTCATGTGCAATAGAACCCAGCTTGCACAAACATGCACAACCACAGCAGAAGCGACAACACCAAGAACGGCAAAGTGACAGGCGGCAGCAGCAGCACCAGCACCACCACTACAACACCACCGACACCAGCAGCAACAGAAAGGGCAATGGCAATAGCGACAGCAACACCACTACAAGTAACAACAGCACCGGCAGCAACAACAGCAGCAGCAACAGCAACAACAACAACAGCAAAAAACAAGAGCAACTAGGAATATCATCAGCGCACGTAGCAAAAAACAAATGCAACCAACGCAGCAAGCAACAACAACCACAACCACGACGACGACGAACGACAACAACAACAACAACAACAACAACAACAACAGCAACAGCAACAGCAACAGCAACAACAACGTCCACGGCAACGTCAACGGCAATGACAACAACAACGGCGACAACAGCAACAACAATGGCATCACCAACGGCACCACCACCACGAACAACAACATCAAGAGCAACAACAAAACAAAACACACGCACACACACAAACACAAAAAAAAACAACGATGACGGCAACATTAACACTAGCGACAGTAAGAGCAACAACAACATGGAGGACAACAGCACCTACACAAACACCGTCACCAAAACCATTCCCACCGCCGCCACCACCACCACCACCACCACAACAACAACAACAACAACATCATCAACAAACAACAACAAACAACAACAAACAAAAACACAACAACAACAACAACAACAACAACAACAACAACAACAACACAAACGAACAAACGAACAAACACACAACAAACAACAAACAACAAACAACAAACAACAAACAACAAACAACAAACAACAAACAACAAACAACAAACAACAAACAACAAACAATAAACAACAAACAACAACAACAACAACCCCTTCCAAC